GGCTCTGAGTTTCTTAGGCTGCAGGTGGAAGGAGGTGGCTGCTCTGGCTTCCAGTACAAGTTTTCTTTGGACACAGTTATCAATCCTGATGACAGGCAAGGACACAGGGGTGTGTTGGTGGTCAGGTGTGACTGTTCTTTGTAAAGGTGGTGGGAGGGGGGTTGTGTGACATGATAGTATGTTGCATTGAAGGGAAGAAGGCTGTGAGATAAGGAAACTGCTCAGACTGTGCTTCTCTGTAAGGTCTTTGTCACAGCTGATGGTTAAATATGCTGCTTTTTTACAGGGTGTTTGAACAAGGTGGTGCCCGTGTGGTTGTGGATGTGGACAGCCTGGCCTTTGTGAAGGGTTCCATGGTGGACTTCAGCCAGGAGCTGATCCGAAGCTCCTTCCAGGTGGTGAGCAACCCCCAGGCAGAGAAGGGTTGCTCATGTGGGACTTCCTTCTCTGTCAAATTCTGACTGAACTTCCCATGGATGGACGCTGTCTGCAGACACTTCCTGGCAGTCTTCAGAGGGTTTACATCTATTCTTTTCCCAGCTGCTGCCTCTCATTTCCCTTACCCTATAACACAGCTGTTATACATGGCTGCAGCTGTGTGTGTGCCTGCACTGAGCCTGTGTCCAGGACTTGTTGACCTTCCCTTCAGAAACATGAAGTAACCATGAGCACACACAAGGAGCATCTTGAGTGCCTTGTGAACCACTGCCCAGGTGGTGCTGACCTGCCTGCCCCGTCCTGAGTGTGGAACCACTTAGCTGCTTGTCTCTGCAAGTGATGGCTGTAAATATGTGTGTGTTTACTGGAAATTGTCACTAAAATGAGCTTTTGGGATGGATTGGTATTGCTTCTGCATTTACATGTGGGTAAAATCTGTGTTCATTCAGCCTACTGTTACTTATTCCTCATCTTCCAGCTGAATGGGACTTGGAGTCTCTCACATATACCTCCCAGGGTTGCTGGCTCTCCACTCCCCAACTCACTGCACTTTTTCAAATGCTTTGCTGTTCTCTTGCTGAGCAGGTTTCTCTTGGTCCTAGGAACCTTGGGTGGTTTTGCTCTAAGTTTCTGGGATGAAAATTTTTACTTGTTCAGAGTAAGTGAAACCAGAAAATTGAGGTAGGAAGAACTGGTAACTTATTTCTTTTATTAAAAACAAAAGGAAAACCTTGTGTATATATATATATAAATAAAATGCCCAGCTCTCTATGCCTCAGTGCCATTTTAAGCTGTTCCTAAACCTGACTTGGAATTTTAGGTCATACAGGCTCTCAGATTTCATAGTGTGTTTGCTGCCTTCTCTTGCCAGCAGGAGGGGAAGTTAAGTTGACACAGGAGGATCTGGAGTACTACTTAAGAGTCCTCAAGTCCTTTTAACTTAAAGCTGTCAGGGAAGCTTTTCCATAACTTGCTCTACCATTCAGTCTCTGTCTGGCATGTGCCTGGTTTGATGGCAAACTGAAATTATTCCTTTCCTTTCTAAAACTCCCATGGAATGAGAAATCTAGAAGTTTCCAGAGTAACATCCTTTTGAGTAGTCGTTTTCTGTAGTTTTTTATCTGCCACTAGATGTCTTTTAAATCAAAGTGATTCACCTGCTTCTGTATGAAAGGAGAGATGGGAAAGCTATTTTTGTTCCCTTTCTTGTGCTTTGTGATCATAATCAAATTGTCTAAGACTCGAGTCTCTCACATGAGTGTGGGAGCACTGCATGACTTTGGTCACAAGGGAACTGCTTATGACAAACCATGAGCTTTTTAAGTCTTCATGCTACAGGCATTTTTGTTAAGCTTTCCAAATGCCTTTTTAAACTAATCAGCAGTGCATATGTACAGCACTGTTCTGCCTGTTTATTTCTACTGCTCGGAGTTGAGAGCCAGCTAGTTTCAGTTTCATCTGTACATATCACAGAAGCTCATATGTGATCTGCTCTGACTTTGTCACATGGAGAGTATGGACAGAATGTGTGGCAGCAGCTCTTTGACTTCAGTCCTTTACATTTCCCGCAGTCATCAACATCTGCCTGCTTTTGTTGCTGTCACAGCTGTAGTGTTGCCCCATTCTGTACAAGAGTGTAAAAGGATGTCGTTAAAAGACTTGCCTAAACCCCTGCAGGATGTTTTGGCCCTACCCTTATGCTCTCAGTTCTTGAAGGTGATGTCAGCCAGAACTGCCTTTGAAAAAATAAAGGACCTTAAAGCTTGTGTAGGTAGAAGACACTAGATAGACTCAGTTTCTTTCAGCTGGTATACCTGAAACATGGCCAGAGGAATTGCTTTCTGAACCAGGAAGATCCATACTTGATCCATTTCACACAGACTGACATAGGTCAAATCTCTTTCGGGATCTTTCATGGGAAATAAAAGTGCAGCAGTAGTGTTGGGGAGGTAGCCAACCAGCAGCTACCAAGGCTTTTTTTCCCTAGACTAAAAGGCAGCCTTCAGCACTGTAAGCATGGACCTGAATGTGAATGTGCCAGGTCTGTTCAACAGGTTCTGCCTGCCTCCAATCTCTCTACGCTGATGCAGTAAAAAAGTCCATGTGGAGTGGTGCCTCTTTCAGCGAATCTGCCTCCCCCTCCCGAGGACTGTGCAGAGGGTGAGGCTTTTGTGCCCACCAGTGTCACTTGCAGTGTCGCTGTGAAGCTCGTGTGGCTTGCTCTGCCTGCGGTTCTGGCAGTACAGCTCTGACTGCACTAGGTGGACCCCTTACTCCTTGGAAGTTGCTGCACTGGACACACGCAGGCATTTCGACCTCTTTCTGAGGTGAGGTTGGATCTGCTCCGTGCAGGGCCTAAGCAAGAGCAAGAGTTTCTTTGCAGCTGCCTGTTTTGGAGGCAGGCTGGAGTTCATCTGGCATTGCAGCAGTGTAGTCTCTAGGTCAGAGAAACTGCTAGGAGCTGGAGATATTCCAGCTGTACATCGCATTACTCTTGGCCTCCTAGGCCTGCTTCCTTGGACTAGCTGTAATCTATTGGCCAAAGCTACTAGTTTTCCAGTTCCCAGTAGGAAATGGGTGCACAGGGCTGTCTATCACCTCCAGAGTTGTCCTGACTCTCTGAAGTCTGACAGTACATTATAAATCAAAACTTCTGTCAGCGTCAGGAATTCAGTAAGGGGTGTCTTGGTGAATTTTGGCCATATAGGCAGAAAAGACTAGATCCTGGTTCCCTGTCAAGGTTTATACACCAAATAGCTGTAGGTGGCAAAGATGGCACCACACTGTAGGCTGTGAGATAAGACCTGCTGTGCCAAGAGGACACAGGATTAGATGGGGGATTTGGTTCTGCCTGGGCCATGGGGGGCTGCCAAGGCACATCTGTAGGGTTTGCAGTGTGAGGACAGGTGGGAGCCCTTGTACTAAACCACTGAGAAAAAGCTGGAGGAGCTGGAGCTTCTGCCTTTGCTTCATGGCAAATGAGAAACTGCAGTGGAAAATCTTTCTCTTCTCCCACATAAAGAAGGAGGATTCTCTCAGTTCACCCACCTGACAAGGAATGAATGATCAAGAAAGATATTTATGGAAACCTATGTTAAGATGAAACTTGATGGGAAAAGGGCACAATCATCAATGTCACTGACTGGAGGGTAGAAGATAGAATAGAAATCCTCGCTTTGGTGAGAGCTTGTGGGAGCTCTGCAGGGGCTTGTTAGTAGATGACCAGCACATCCTCAGCCTGTGACTTTGGCTCTGTTCTTCAAACTATCTACCATCGTCTATTAACTGTGGTCCCCCTTTGAGGCTTCAAGCCAGATGGTGGTAGGAAAATGTCACAGTTTTGTCATGCCCCTTTTTTGTGGTTTAGGAATATGTGTAAGAGTGTTGTGCTTGTGTTGGTGGGCTTCTCTGTGGTACCATTTGCTACAAAGAGCATTTTTAGGTGAGTATCTATGATAAGACCAATGGCCAACCTAGGGTGGGCAACAACTGTCCCTCTCACCCACAAATTTAATCTGACAAATTTCACTGAGCTCAAACCTCTCCCTTCTGACACTGTACACATGTACAGAGCTGCTGGTGAGTCAAGAAGACAACTAGGGGTGAGGAGTCAGTACCTGCCTGGATGACATGCACTGGAGTTTCTGCTTCTCCCACACAGTAGTGTAATTTCCTGCCACCTTAAGGGCTTGCCTGAATCCAGCACCTGGGGGAGGAATCACTGAACAGTGGAGGAGGCAGAAGTGCATGAAGGGCTTCTCTTCTCTGAGTCCCACACTGTGGAGGCACATGCATTGTATCAAGACTGTTTCCAGACTTAGAAGTGTTTCAAACATCTGGTGGCAACTGCAAGTAAAAAAACCAGAGTGGTATAAACCGCTCTATTCACACTGTAAGCTGGGACTGGTCAATGGAGTTTACTGAATTACAAGACAGAATATCCTGAGTTGGGAGGGACCCACAAGGATCATTGAGTCCAGCTCCTGGCTCTGTGCAGAACAACCCCAAAAATCACACCATGTGCCTTAGAGCATTGTCCAAATGCTCCTTGAACTCTGGTAGGCTTGGTGCTGTGACCACTTGCCTGGGGAGCTGTTCCAGTGCCCTATCACCCTGAGTGAAGAACCTTTTCCCAATATCTAACCTAAACCTCCCCTCACACAGCTTCAGGCCATTCCCTTGGGTCTCTGGTCACCAGAGAGGAGAGACCAGTGTCTGCCCCTCCACTTCCCCTCATGAGGGAGTGGTATGCAGTGATGAGGTCTCCTCCAGTCTGAACAACCTCAGCCACTCCTCATATGGCTTCCTCTCTGAGCCTTTTGCTGTCTTTGTAGCTCTCCTTTGGGCACTCTCTAATAGCTTTAGATCCTTCCTTATACTGTGGTGCCCGAAACTGCACATAGAACTTGAGGTGATGCCACACCAGCACAGCAGAGTGGGACAATCACCTCCTTTGACCACCTGGCAATGCTGTGCCTGAAGCACCCCAGGACATGGCTGGCCCACCTGGCTGTCAGGGCACACTGCTGGCTCATACTCAATTTGCCATTGTTCAGGACTCCCAGATCCCTTTCCATGGGGCTCTTGTTGGGAGTTCAGAGAAAAATTCAGAGCAAGAGTGCTGTATTTCCAGGATGCGCTGCTGCAACATGTTTGAGGGCCAAAGCAGTGTCTCCACTAGCAAACACCATTGTTGAGTTTGTTAGCAGAGGGCATGATAAGATCTGCACCATTTTGGTGCTTCATTTTCTTTGCCTGTTTTCATGCACATCAGCCAAAGCTCTCACCAAGTGTTCACCATGCCTCTCTGGAACAGCCATAGCTGCCAGATAGACTGGTAGCAGAGAAAGGGATAACCCTGTGTAATGGTGTGTTTGATATAGCTGTCAGCCAGCCTGGAAAAACAACCACAGTGCAAGAACCCTGAGCATTGGGAAGCATCAACTGCAGCCACCTGTGTTGTATTAAACTTTTCCATTTGAGAAGCTTTTTTAGTACACTTTTTTTTTTTGTTAGGATGAAT